GCAATTATTACATTGAGTGTAAATATTACATAATTTTTTATGCAAATATTACAAATTTACATATTAAAATTTATGGATGTAATATTGTGGTGGGAAAATTTCCTGATGTTGCGACATGGAACACTATTACCTATTCTTTGGGCACTCTGACAAAAATCTAACTTTTCACTATTACTATTATTTTTATTATTATCAATAATGTTATTATTAGTATTCGTATTTTCTTCGTTTTCATTATCTTCATCAACTTCACTCTCCACTTCTTTCTTCTTTTCTTTGTTGACCCATTCCTGAATTGCTTTACTTCTAGGATTGGTTTTTCGTTGAATTTTTTTGTTGTAGAAGCAGCAACACCTTTTTCCTTCTGCAAGTAATTCGTGAATTTCAATGACCATTTCACCAAATGAAATCTGGATTCAATCTGGTCTTTTCATCAAATAATTGCTTAAAATCCTTCCATAGATTTTCGATTTCATGCAAATATTTTTCATGGCCAGTAAAATGGCTTTTCTTGGTTCTATTTTATCAATTATTTGATCATTTTTTTGATTTATAACATAGAATTAATTTTTGTAAGTTTTATAATGAAGTAAGAAACCAAGCAAGAGTCCAATTAATAATCCACAAAAAAGTTCACTATTGAAAGTAAGCATCATGGATGAAAATATTGTATAAATATTTATTTGTTTTTAAAATTGTTTAATGGTGATTATTAGAAGGATTTGTTATTTGAATTTTTTTATCTGAAAATTAAGTGAATTGGTAATGTTTTTATAATGTTGCAATACAAGGCGAGATTATTTACCTTGTTCCAATGTTAATGAGAGAAAAACAAAGACTTATAAAACATATCCTTGAATGTAGTAGAATTTGTTCAAAAACTCAAACAACATTTTTATTGATAAACAATGCAATATGAAACTTTCTCTGTAGTAATAGTTGGTAAAAAAAATAAATCAATATTGTAATAATAAAATTATTTTCCTTCTAAGGATTTCTGCTTTTTGTTAGGTAATAATACACCTTCATTCTGCTTTCTTTTTCCAACATTTATTATTTTTCTTTCTTGGTAAATTTTGTAGGTAATCCTTTCTTTTCTTAGATAAGCTTCAAGTGCCTGTGTGAGGGGCAATTTTTTCACCTTGTTCTTTCTCCAAAATACTTCTAATGGTGCTATAATTTTTGGGTTCCATGGTAGATATAATGTAAATTAACTTCATATTAACTATTTCTATATAGGAGCAGTTCTATATATCACTTAACAAATGACTTAATTTTGATCCCTGAAATTCTTGTAATACCAATGTTCACTTTGTCTGGTTTTATTGCAGTATGCCTCAAATGATAATCTAATGTTGAAGTTGATGTGATGTCAGAATTAGCATATTTTGCACCACATTTGATTTCTGTTTGAGGATTGAGCTGGTTTTGAAAACTTATTTTTTGGAATTTTTTGGTTTCCAGGTTTTTACATATATCTGTCTTGTTATCTTGTCTTATCTGATGGATGATATCTGTTCTGGTATACTTTTTTATTTAGAATAAGATTTTTGATTTATTTGGAAAAGACAGATATTCTGATCTGGTGTGAGGCTCAGGTTACCCAGATGGTTAATGACTGATTAATATCTCTATTTATATATACAATTTAAATTTTATTAATAAAAATAGACAAAATTCAAATTGGCATGAGAGTAGTTTGTAACCTTACATTTTAAAACTAAGTGACAATTTTTTTTTGATTACTAAAAAGTTTCACTATGCTTGACTATAAAAAAAATTACATTAAAAATGAAATGAAAAATCTAAGCACCACATGTGAGACCATATATAGCTGGCACTCAATATAAGGAAGTGTTGATTTTCTTCACTATATCATTATATATTAAAATTATTCTCGGTCTAAAGAATCCTATTGCTGCGCCACTAGTTTCAAATCTCAAAAATTGCAATTTCGTGATTCGTTCAAAAATGAAAATTTTTCAAAAGTCCATGTTAAAAAAATTATTTTCCATCCTGCCAAATTTAGATACGATTGTCGAGTATTAGTCTAAATTTAGTAATGATGGCCGAAAATTAGTCTAAATTTAGCAATGATCCTAGCGCATGAGCATAGTAAAGTACATGTTTTAAAAAAGAATAGAACTCCACAACAAATAATTTTTTTGAGAAAATCCCTCTATTACATTAAAATTAAAGACCTATTCTATCAACTAATAGAGCTATTTTTTTAAAAGGTGGGACAGAAAATGACTTCTATACCTTCAAAATTTGCGCAAAATTTAGGAGGTCTTTAGGCCATAATTTCTACGCTTAATTTGAAAACTTGAATCCATTTTTGCAATAGCCAACATTAACAAGGGAAAAAATTTTGAATTTACTGCTACGTAATAGTAATATTCTTAGATTACATGAGATATGAATTTAAAGAGCGAATTTTTTTATATAAGAAGAGTTATGATTTTATAAAATCATCAAATAGAATTTTAATATAACTGACATTGGTTCCTGAATTTATTGATTCAAATATGAATTTAACGAACTTTGACTGTAATTGAGGGTCCTTGTTTTGACCAAACCTTAACTAACCATAAAACTTCCCTGTCATTTATTCCGAAGAATTTGATTTCTTACCATTAATTTTCGCATGATTTTTAATTCTCTTAATTCTCTTGATGCATTTTCTGATGTCGAATAACATTAATCGGAATTTAGAATATATATATAAACTTTTGTCAGTTAAAATATTTTAATAATTCAGAATATGTTATTAATTTATGTTTTATGATATGTACAGTATGTATGATAGATATAAATAATGTGGGACCTGAGATTTTTGCCAGACCGAACACTTTGTAGTTGTTTGTTTATGAAACTGATGGTTATAGTTTTAGGTTCCTATATAACTATTCTAATTTACTATTTCTCTACAAGTACTAGTATCATTTCTGGGACCAAAAAACGGCATAAGAAATTTATTATTACAAATGAATTTTACCTTCCTATCATTAAAGCCAAACTTCCTTTCGATAATGAACCAGAGGGGAATTTGTACATGCATTAATGATCCCATGATAAGGATTCTGAAAGCTAAAACTTACAAAGTTTTTTTACTCGGAATGAACACTAATAATGTTTACGTGGTGACAAATAATGAGAATTCTTCCAATGAAGATTATATCAACTTCAATAAATACTGTATATTTTGACTGGGGTCTATATTTAGTGGCTATTATATAAATGCATAATATTTCTATGCATAATTGGTGCTCGCTAACCATACTCTTGATTGTGCCCCATAAGTTCTATGGATTATAATTATCCAAAGATGACTTCACCTAATTCAAGGATTTATGTCTCGTATATTTTAACTGATATCAGTATTCTAATTATTTATTAAATATAAAATAAGGAATAAAAGATAAAGCAAGAACATAATTAAATATATTAAATATAATATAAAAATCTATGCTAAAATTCTTTATTTAAAAAAAAATTGTTTATAATTTGTTTGGATATTTAAATATGCTTTTAAAAAAAAATTATAGATAAGAATCAAGATAATTGTGAATTAATAATTGGTTCGCCAAAAAACATTCAACTTATTATATTCTTATCTTCAGTAGAAGTATTTGATAATTCACCACCTGGGCAAAGCTCTTCAAATTTTTTATCAAGCACCTCCTAGATAAGCAAACAAACAAAAAAAAACAATTCATTATAAATTATTGCCTTGACATATATTATTATTGTTACTATTATTATTCATTATTATATTTTAATTCACCTGCATCTTATTAGCATCATTGTAAATTTGTGATCCTTCTTCATTAAAAGTTTTAGCATTATTAAACATTAGATACCAATCTTCTTTACATTGTTTTATTGTTTTATAATAAATTCCTTTTATTCTTTTTTTTATGGTATCCATAGCTATAGGATTTTTTATGATTTGGAAGTATAATGGATAATCTTTTATTTTTGGAAGTGTGAGAAAGAGATATGCTCGCTGACGTGGTTCACTATATATCAATAATCATTTAGTAAAAAAAATGTGTGAATTAACAATTAATTAATTTTCTTCGAAGAAGTAGATTTATTTACCCATCTGATTCGTCCATCAAATTTTCCACCACTGAATAACATTCCATAAAAATATTTCTCATCTTTTCTCGAATCTGTGGTGGAACGTCGTCAACTTCAACAACATCAACACTATTACTTTTAGATATTTTTCTCTTTTTCTAAGACAAACAACAACAATTTAACATAATTAGTCATCGCATAAAATTAAGTAAATATAATAAATAATTCAAAAATTCTAACTTTAGATTGATCTGGATATGATTCATTAATTGTTTTCTCATCATAACTATCAAATTCTCTTTTTGTCTTGCCTTTCTTTTTGGATGGTTTTGGTGTTAATCCAGAATTATTATTGTTACCGTCTAAAATTTTCTGTGCATCTTTACGTGGTCTTCCTCGTTTTTTCTTACCATTTGTGCTATTAATATTCACATCATTTGAATACACATTAGGTTGTTGAGACGACTCTTGTTGCGATGATCCTTGTTGTGATGATCCTTGTTGTGATGATCCTTGTTGAATCGTTGCTTTCTTGTATTTTTTTTCTAATCGTCGTCTTTTGGCCGCTTGTTTCTTGACAATCAGTTCTTCAAGTTCAATATCCTCATCTTCAAGTGCCTAAAAATATCAAAATTTAATTAGATAAGTAATCAATCAAAATCAAACTAATCACTATGCACAAACTTTCTCACATACATTCACCCACTGTTCTTCTGTTAATCCATCATCATAATGAATATTTCCTCTGACTCTTTGACCACGACCATATTCGACATTTGAATCATCATAATTTATAACCGTTTCATAATCTTTTGTGTATATAGACGGCAATTCACTTTCCTCTATCAATCTTCCAGGCCTCCTGCCCTTACCACCTTTCATACGCCATTCAACTTCTTCTTTTTGATCCCTTTCAATATCCATATTTTTAAACCTTTCAAGCTCTTCATTATTTCTTGATATTATTTCATTAAGTTCATCATCATCTAAATCTTCTTCCTCTTCAACATCATTAACTTCATCGACATCATTTCCCAATAATGAACGCTATCATGATAATAATAATAATTACTGTTATTATTTCTTCGAATTATTTTTCAAAGAAGATTTGCACATACCAGGTAGGCCTCACGTTCTTCTGCTGTACTTTTATTGTCAAATTTACCAGCCTGAATCACTTTACCATCGATATCAAGCTTGTATTGAGCTCTTGCAAGAATAGTTTCTTCAATAGATTTTTGTGATATAAGTCTTAACACTTGTACTTCCCTTGTTTGTCCAATACGATGTGCACGATCTTGAGCCTGTAAATCTTGATGTGGATTCCTTTATATATATATTTTTGAATGAATATTTGCGAATATAAAAGCAAAAACATAATAATAACAATAATAATAATTTTACCAATCAGAATCAAATATTATAACAGTATCGGCTGATTGTAAATTAAGACCAAGACCACCAGCTCTTGTGCTCAATAAAAATATAAAATAAGGTGAATCTGGTGCATTAAATTGCTTTAATAATTCGGATCGATCTTCAGCCTACCACAATAAATGTGTTAGTAAAAAATAAAATAAAATAAAATAATATTAAATTGTATTGACTTTTTTTTTCTACCTTTGTTGTACCATCCAAACGTAAATGTCTATAACCACGCCAATTTAAAAAATCTTGCATTATTGTCATAATAGCAGTCATTTGAAAAAACATTAAAACCTTATAATAAAAATAATAATTAATTGAATAATTTTAATAATATATTATATAATATGTTTTATATTTATACGTACTCTATGATTAGTACAAGAAAATTTTGGAAGAATTCTATCTAGTAGCTCAAACTTGCCAGAAACACGATATAAAAGTTCGTTGCTAAAATTTGATTTGAAATCTCCTTCGACTTCTTCAAAAACAAATGGATGGTTACAAATCTTACGTAACTGCATTATAGTATTGTTTAATCCCTTGATACCAGTTTTTCTGTATAAAATGATGATAATGATGATGATGAATGAATGAAAAAATAAATAATTATTCATATATTCATTTATCCATCCTACTCGTCGTTGATTAACATACCCTTTTTCACCATTATTAACAAACAAAACACCAAGTTTTTTCATTTGATTGTACAGCTTAAGTTGTAAACTCGATAATTTACACTTGATTACCCTTTCAACTTTATCAGGTAATTCCGATTCTACATCCTTTTTTAGTCTACGCAAAAGGAATGGTCTTAAAACCTAACATCATATACATGAATGCATTATTATAATTGTAAAAAATTCCTTTTTATTAGTAATACATAAAAAATGTAAAAAATATACTTTATGTAAACGTCTAATTATAAGTAACGATTCTTCTTCATTCAAGGCTATTTTATCCTGTCCACCAGTATTTGCAAATGGTGTATTGAACCATTCATCAAAGCTTTTAACAGAATTAAAAATTTTAGGTAATAAGAAATTCAATAATGACCATAGTTCAGGCAAATTATTCTATATAAATTATTTTTTAAAAAAAAATAATCAACAACTGATCAAATTTTAACGTTATTAGCATCAAAAGTAATCAAACATATATACTTGTAATGGTGTTCCGGTAAGAATCAATCGATAACGGCATTGATAAGTATTAGCTAATATCATTGATATTTTTGAATTGGCATTTTTCATACGATGTCCTTCATCTATTATCACATAAACCCATCTGATTTTACTTAAAACAGATTTATCCTTAATTATATATTCATAAGTTGTAAGCAAAACTTGAAAGTTAATGTGTTTAATGTATCGGCGTTGCAGTTCTTTGCGTACTGACGGAGTTCCTTTATAAACACATTTCATAACTGATGGCGCCCATTTTTCAAATTCCATTGTCCAATTTGTTAATGTGCTTTGTAAAAAAATAAAATTATTGTTAATAATATTACAAATATATATATATATATATCATTTTTTATTTTTACTTACGATAATGGAACTACGATTAAGAATGGGCCATTCTGCCTTTTCATTTCAATAAGATATGTAATTAAAGATATCGTTTGAATAGTTTTTCCAAGACCCATTTCATCTGCAAGTAGACCATTTAACCTATTATTGTACAAAGAAACCATCCATTGTAGTCCTTTGATCTTTTTTTAATTCATTAATTTTATTTAAAAAAAAATATATATTAATTTAAATAAAATCAGAGGAATAAATTCAATATTGACAATATACTTACCTGATAATCTTTGAGTGTACCTCCTATCATAATAGAGGGTTGTATAACTTCTTCCCTTATTTTATGTGCAACTTGATAATAATCTATTTTTTTTCCATCCTATATTTATAATTATTAACGTTTATTTAAATAATAATTTTTAGCATTCAAAATTTTTTCAAATAAAATAAATTATATAAAATGAACAAATATGCATACAACAATAGTCAAAGTATCATCATCATCACCGCCACCACCACCACCATCATCATCACCACCATCACCACCACTCCCACTGTCACCACCACCATCATCCATCAATTCAATACCACCTCTTACAGATGGATCGTTGTGTGAATCATCATTTTGTTGTGCGACAACAGCCTGAGCTAAAGAATCAAGGTAAGAATCAGTTTGTTTTAACAAATGGGTGATTCTGGTGTCTTTAGCCTCATCAATAAGTTTCAAGTAAGCCTCTTCATCATCATTTTTCAATGCACTAAGACGTTCTTTTGAGACACGTTCAGCTCTTTTTTGTTCTTCTTTCTCAACTTGTAGATGATAATTTAACACAGAACGACCTAATTTCAATCTTTTGTTTTGATTAGTACAATGCCATTGTAAAAAGTTATGACCGTGACTACAAATGCTTTGTATAAAATTTGTGTGTTTTTGTTTTTCCTTTCTTTCTCTATCTTCTCTTTGTTTTATTTCAAGGCCTTCAGTAATTCTAGCATCCATCATTGATGACTTTTTCATTATTCTGCAGGAAGCATGATCTACTGAACAAATTAATTTAGTATTTCTAGCCATAGCAAAAAATAGCTTATTACGAAGCTACAGAACAAAATAAATTATGAATGAGTTATAATAATCAATCAATTAATTAATCATAAATTATAAACATAACATAAAAAGTTCAATACCTTTGTTCGTAGATTTGATAATTTAAAAGACTTGTATTCAATCAACCTTTTGTATTCTAAATGATCCAAGTGATTATTGTTTGGATCATTTAATCTGACTTTATTAATGAAAGGTATTTGTTCAAGTTCAGAGATTCTTTGATTTATTCTAGCATTTAAGTAACTCTCATGTTCCGCGGCCAAAATAAAAGAATCAATCCCTATAGGTGATATGGAGGGAATCAATAACCTTTGATCTTGAACAGCATTTTTATAAGTATTGATAGGTTTGTGGTAAGTATGTGGATCGATAAAATCATTATAGTGTGTTGAAGAAGTAGCATTTATTTGAGGTATTGTAGTTGTAGGTATTGTAGGTGATGATGATATCGGAAGTTGTGGCATTGAATTTCCAAAAATTGAGGGAAAATTTGAAGCTTGGATATCATTATTGTTATTATTATTTTGATGCTGATGATGAAGCTGTTGTTGCTGCTGCTGCTGCTGCTGCTGCTGCTGCTGCTGTTGCTGTTGCTGTTGCTGTTGTTGATAATGATGATATAGAGGATGCTGTTGATGATGGTGATGGGGACGAGAACGATGTGAATGTGAATGATTTGACTGAGCAGGTTTTTCAGATATTAATCTGGACAAATCTTGCATAGACATTATTCCTTGGATAGGTTCTGGATTAAACATTGCCTGTTCTAATTGTGGTGGCATTGGTATATTACGAGATATTAATTTAAATGCTAAGATTTGAAATTTCAACGCAATCAATTGTTCTTGTGATAATAGTGGCGAGTTAGTATTGTTAGAATTTACATTAACTTCAGAATTTGATATTCCGCTATCTTTATTGTTACTATTATTAATGTTATTGTTACTGTTATTATTATTGGAACTACCGTCATTATTATTACTGTTGCTTATATTATTATCATAACTACCATTAGCATTATTTATTTTATTTTTTACATTACTAGTATTAGTAGTAATAATATTATTAATATTATCACTACTATTACCACTACTACTATTATTATGAGAATTACTAGAATTAGAACCAATAATATCAGATTGTTGCTGATTCATTTGTTGTTGTTGATGATTTATTAATTGCGATGGTTGCACTGTTTGCGAAGGCTGTGATTGTGTTTGTGCTTGTTGCTGCTTTTTTTGAGCTTGTTGTTGGTAAGATCTTAAAATGTTCATTGATTGAGCAAACTCGGGGCTATTGGCTTCAGTTGTACCTTGTGCTTGCATTTTTTGTATCCTCTTTTACTGTTAACAATCATGTTATTTATTATATTGGTATAATTTGATTTTAATTTATTTTTTTAAACATTATTATTAAATTATAAAAAAAAAAATTTAAAAAACAATTAATTTCCACCAAAAAAAATAAGAATAATTAGAAAACACTTACAGTTAATAGCTGCTGTCTCGACTGAGCAGTTGTTGGGAACTCATATGACTGCGGCTTGGTTTTTAATTTATTATAGGAATTAGTGCGACAGCATAATGAAAGTCTGAATTTGTCGATTATTGTTACCATTACCATTTCAGTGCGCGAATTCGCGTGTTACGTTACACGTTTCTTGAAGATAGTCTCCAAATTTGTACTAGTTTTTTGATGAAATTACACTGTTTGCTACACTGTTATTTATGTTAGTTTATTATTTATTAAATTCTAATTTGACAATTTGGGAAATAAAAACAAGCGCTTGGTATATTGTTGTATGTGAAATTGAAATTATGTGAAATTGAAATATTATGGAGTGGGGTGAAATTCTGATTGGCTAATTTGAATTTCACACATGTAAATTTGAATTTCACATATGTGAATTGCGAATTCACATAATTTCATTTTCACGTACAACAGTATGAAAAGTTAAATGTGAATTGTGATTACAATCAAACCTTGTCACAACAAATGCATAAGAAAGTTTCCTTTAAAATTCATTATAATACGAATTAATTATAATTTACTGTGACAAGCAAGGTTTGACTAATTAGATATTTTAAATTTATTAAAGAACCAACAGGGGTTCCATACATAAATAATTAATGTGTACACATTTGTCTATCAAATAACTTTCCTTTTTTTGAAGATGTCTCAACAAAAAAGACAAAATAAAAGAAGGCAAGAAAACATATCTGGAGAGATTGCCAGGTAAGTGTTTTAAGAATGGTGGTGGTGGTTGTCATGACTTTAATTTTTAGAGAATCATTTGAAAGTTACTTTGTTTACAAAGATGAAAAGAATACAATTTTCATGAATTCGTAATATTACAACCTATACTTTGGTAGTGTCAGAGGATCAAATTTAAAATCTGACTTATTTACTTCATACCTAGTCATCAGTAAAAAATACTCAAGTTCATTAAAACAACTATCAAAGGTAAATGTCATAAATATATACAAATTGTTCTGGAAATGATGAGAATCCTTTACAAAATAAGCTTTTTGCATAATATGGTAGCATCACTACAGAAATTTTTGATATCATTCAAGATCACTGATTTCAAATCTGGTTATAGCTGATTGATTCAATCATTAATGCTAAAGAAACAAAATTATTGAGGCTATTGCTGTTCATTGCAAAAATGGAATAAAATAGTTATTTTTCAAATATAATTAATTATATAAATAAAGTTGGTGTCTGCAGCTGATTAAAAATTCTCCAATGTAGGAGTGTTGCTGTTTTGGATTTTCCCTGGATTCAAAGTTTTGAATCTTGGATTGCAGTCTTGCCAGTGGCATGCCTGCTCACCAACAACCCTACCCCCATTTAAATAACAAATTCAGTTGGACAAATAAAAATTAAAGAGAAGCAGAAAATTTGGGAATGATTAATTTATAACATACCAAAATCCGAACCATTTTATGCCTTTTTTCTTGTTGGCCACATTGCTGACAAAGATGTATATAATCATGTGATAATTTTAACCTACAGGACAGGGGACTGATTGGGCAAAAACCCAAATTATGTGCGGATTTTTTTAGCATATTTATCATATATTTCAACACATTGTAAATGTTGACAACAAAATTCAACTAACAATATATTTTTTGAAATCATGGATTATAAAAAGAAATTTCTATAATAAATCGAATAACTTTAAACCATGTTAACTTTTTTTTTCATAATAAAATCAAACAAAAATTTTTTATAGTTTTATTGCTTAAGTCTTCTATAATAAATCTATAGAGTGTTTTTTCCCCTATCTCATGTGATGATAAAGTTTTTCTATTAGCAATCTTTTTCAATTTCTTTAGAACATATAAAAAAAATATTTTTTTATTTGGCAAGAAAAAAAACTTAAAAGCTTGATATATTTATATAATTTCCCTTGGTTTCATGTTTGTATCTTTTTAGTTGAAGGCTCTGATACAATTTTTATTTATATAGTTTTTATATATGCAACAAAACCAGACAAAGTGAACATTTGTATTACCAAGAATTTCAGGGGTCAATAATGTTGACATCACAATTGTGTTACCAATGTAATGTGATCACAATATTCTAGACAAAAATATTTAATTTACATCAGATCTACTATGGAACCCAAGAATTATAGCACCATTAGAAGAAAGAACAAGGGGATAAAAATTGCTCTTTACATTTTCAAAATAAATGATACTCAGACACTAGAAACTTACCTAAAAAAAGAAAGGGTTACTTATGAAATTTACCAAGAAGAAAGAGTATTAAAGAATTCTAGTAAAGAATCAAAAAAAAAAAGAAAACTGGCAGAATAACAAATAATTACTTTTTTTCAACTTTGTTACTTTTTTAATTACCTTTTATTTTCAATCAAGGTCATTTTTTAGTTTCTTTAACTTCAATTTGAGCAACTTGTTGAGAAG